ATAATTACAATAAACATATATATATATATGTTGTATGCATGTATACCACGTGCTGTTGCGGAGACGACAGGTTTGCAAAAGCATTCATTTCTGCGATGATCAACCCTTTCCATTGAAACACTTGCGGTGAAAACCACATGTCCAAGTCAGAGCCCATTTGCTAAGCGCACATCCTGTTGATTTTTGCGGTTGACCCAGATGCGACGGTGTGTGTATATATGTTGACCCTTCCTTTGCAAAGTTCTACTCTATGGATGTGGTGTGCTTGGGCTTCGACAACCCCAACAAATCCACATATATATAGCCGTATAGCAAGGTTCTTCCCTGCTATAGGCACCCAAAACCCACAATTCAAAATCCTCTCCACTCAGAAGCAGCCGAAGTGAGTGCTCCATGCAGGACTTGATGAAATGATCCGCAAGAGTGGGCATACCTTGGGAAGGACCGGCATGAAGCACACCGCATGTACTTATAGACTTGTAAAAGAACACGACTTTCACTGTGCTTGAATGTTTTGCGAAGTGACAACAGGCATTCCAAAACAGGTTGAGAGGCCGTCAAAAAAGGATAAGCATGTTTGTTTGGGTGTCCTTTTGCCCTTGAGGTTTGCATGGGTTCCTTGTTGCTCCTGCATCATAGTTACAATTACATAGTTCGAAACAAGTAGAAAAAAGAGACACACACTCAAACATATATTCTAAAATTTGGTTGATTTGAGAAAGGTTTCCTGGCCACCCACTTGTTGCGCTTGGTCCAGCCATCACACTGCATGCTTTGAGTTTTTGCGGGGTCGCTTTGCTCGCGTCTGCTTTTCTGCAGTCTTGGTACGTTTGGAAGGCCCTTTTTTGGTGGGCTCTTCCGCAGGTGTGCTGCCATGTGCTTCTGGTGCAGGCAGTGCTTGCTGCTGGCTGTAGTAGTATTCCGCATTCCTACCACGGAAGCTGGAACGGCGGCAATTGCTGCAGCCATTGTATATGCAACGGCAATTTGCACAGCCCAAGACTTGCCCAGGCAAAACTCGATACATCCATGACCTGCCCATCTTAATCCGATCTTGGGCTGGGTGTTCAGAGTTATCCGGCTTGCTTGCCCCATCAACCTTGTTGGATGCGGCGGTTGATGATGTCTTGCGCTTTCTACGTGGTTCTGCGGACTTGGCTTTGGATCTGGTATTGGCAGCCTTTCCCTTGGCTCGCTTCCGGGCTGCCGGGTCAGGAACAAAAGTGGGCTCGTCAGTCGATGCACTGGCTTGCTCTACCAAACCCTCGCGGCTCTTACTTTTCTTCAAGATATTGCGCTTTGAGCGCCTCTTGGTGACACGGCCACCTGCACCTGGTGAAGTGTTCTTTTTGCCGGACTTTCCTTTCCCAGGTTTTCGTCCCTTTTTCATGTTACTCTTTTTCGTGGTGCGCATTGCAGACTGCATCATGGGGGTGATTTCCGGTTCTGATTCCTTGGCCTCACCCTTGGCCTCAGCATCGACCCCTGAGCCTTTGCCAGAAGCCGGCTCTACAGTGTTGTTCTGGATCTCGTTGCCCTTGACCTCAACCTCGGCCGGCAAGTTGGCAACCTGCTCAGGTTCCACCTGACGGCGGGGCAAGAATCGATAACCTGACCAATCTTGGTTGACAAATCGCAGAATTCTTAAGACACGATCCCAGCAAACAAATTTTGGCCTTCGGCGGTGTCTCACAAGGTGGTGGATGATGGGCCGCAGGGGGAGTAACGATCTGACCGAAGTCCATTGGCTGGGTCTCAGCCTACAAATGGATCTGTGCATAGGAACTTTCCAGACAAATAGCGAATAATAAGACGATAGAAAACTATAAACAGGATATACGGGCATGGCCCAGCCTCGGAAATGTCGCGCAAAGCAGGACATGGAACAGGTCGACCCTGGCCACCTCAAACCAGCAAAGTAGCTGTCAGAACTGAATGAGAGTGAAAAATCGGCCCAACATGGCTGCGATATACCTTTTCAACAACGGTTTGCGCGCCTTTGGCCAAATCATTCTCCACAGACCTTGGGGATGAGTACTGCGGCAGCAATATTTCGATACTATGTCAAGAGCATGTTTACAAGAGTACCTGGGCGCAGAACTCACGAGAACGACTGGCCAGCCGCATCATGTGAAGTTGATGCAAGACACTGTCCAGTTCCTTCTGCTGCTCCGCAGTCATTGGAACGCTGCATGCCTCGCCCAACACATCAAGTTGCAGTTGACTTTCACCGGGAGAGCCCACCATGGTTGGCTCGTCAGAAGCCTTTGGTGTCACTTCTGAAGCCAAACTTGAAGCTGACCGCTTCTCTCTGTACTGTGGCACATTCCCTGACTTGAGAGTCGGGTCAGGTGATGGAGCAGGTGAAGCAGCCTCAAAGCAATCAGACTCCAACCTGCTAGGAGTCTTGGAAGGATCAAATGCATGCTGAACATCTTCAATGGCCCACTTGGCCCATTGAGTTCGTAGATCCCGGATCTTCTCGAACAACGCCTTGACCTTTTTGTCCTGCAACAACTGATGGAAACACACATGCATGTACCAGGTGGGGAGGGAACATGTAAAGAAAAGCGAACATGCTGGCAACAAAAAACAGCTATATCTTTGACCGCTGCAGTCCCGGGGTCGCTGGTTTCTCTTGGCAGCGTCGTTTTGTCGACGAAATGCAAAGGTATAGAGCTGGCGCAGGTCCCAGGCTGCTATGTAGACTTCGCGTGCTCCAGGCTCATAGTTAACGTCTTCAAACAGTTTCTTCACCTGCATGCATTCTGTGGATGAAATACATGCATGGGTGATGGGTCATATACACATGGACAGCTATAGTAAGCACACCTCAACTCTTTCCTTACTCCCTCAACTCTAGTGGACACTGAAACAAAGACTTCGGCCTCAGGTTTGAGGTCATCAATGCTGATGAACTGGCCATCTAGCTCGTCAACCATCACAGTCAGAACATCAACATTCAACTCCAAAGCTTGTGTGCAAACCGGGTGAGCTGGTTCGATCTCCTCCTCCTGGGTTTCTGCTGGCGCAGATGTAGATGGCCACTGCAAAAAGAACTTTTGCTTCATAAGCCTGTGGCGAATGACCCTGTTGTTTTCCCATGCTGCTGCTAGCTGGCCGGCTGCTGCCATTGCCAAACCAACCCTCAGACTAGTTCGAGTTCAGCGCACACCGCAGAGCCTTTAATAGTTGCATGGTGATGCACAGGTGTTCGCTGCTTCATATGTATATGGCAAAGAAACATGTTAATCCAACATGCCCAAACATGAGCATGGATCAAACATTGCCCGTGGCAGGATTGGCGATTCATTGAGAAGAACATGCCAGCCGTACTGGGCATTGAGAGTGAGGAAATACTTGCTTCCTCCATCCTGCATGCTCAAGAGGTCGATTGAACAAAAATGACGGAACTGTTCTATACTTACCTTCACAGAGACAACCCCTCTTGTCGAAAACGCTACTGTCCCAGTCCTCATCGATCTCTCAGCCGCAGGGTCCGTCGTGCTTCCATGGGCATACAGGATATGGATACAAAGTTGTCATACAAAGTGCAAGCAACTTTCCTACATGGTCTACAGGTTCGTCGTTGGCACCTGTCAACGTGACTTGTTTTGCTTCAGTTTATCTATTGTAGGATGCCACATGCCCTTTGAGCCTTGCTCATGCTGAAGAAAACAGACCTTCAGAGGTGCCTGGGCACGCGGGGAACCTGAAGGCAGCGATGGGAAGTGTCAATATTAGAAAGTGTACGATTTTTGTTGGGTATCTGAGAAAGTGAAGCCAGAAACATGCAACTATTCAAAGTTTACCTTTTAAACAGGCAACTTTCGCGATCCAGGAAGGTGTTTTTACATAATCTCACTCAGTTTCCTCAGAATTAAGAAGTTGTTGGTTCAAGAGTTGCAAGGGGAGAAACCCAGAACAAATATTGGATGTGGTTCCCTTCCCGGTGCCAGGATACTTGGCTCACTTGGCTCGTGGGATGCATCCGTAGGACACCCAAACAGACACAGTTTGACATCAAAAGGGGACTTTGACGTCTCATTTTCAGTGGATCCCAGCACTAAAGCCTCAAAACCTCAAAGCACAAGGTTTTGCTAGATGAAACATGTTTCAAGGGTTTCGGGCCGTTTCGGGCGGCTCCTCCTACGCAGTATACATACCAAATCTATCCTAGTGGATCCCAGCCGTGGTAGGAACCAGAGGCCCTATTCGTCGGTCGGAACCGGTCGTCGAGTCCTGCGCTTAAGAAAGCGATGTCGCGTGGCTGGCCTGGATCCCCTGAGGTCCACGGTCCACACCAATCTTCAAAGTTTCCACAGAACCCTAGACCTCCAGTCGTACCTTCGTTTCGAAGGTGAGACTGGGGTGGGTGCCAGCCAGTCGGGTCCAGTCATACCGAACCGGTTTGGAGGGAGTCTGGAGGTGTAGTGGAGTCGGACCGATCGTCCAAAGGACGTGTTCCTGTTTTCCAGGTCCACATGTCAGATTGGATAACCAGTCCGACTGACCAGTTCCAGCAACAAAAAGGTTAAAATCATATGGAAAATCAGCTAACATGTTATGTTTCTTTCGTTCTTCACCAACACATGATAGCAAGATCACTGGAATGTCTTGGAAGTGGATCCGAAATTCAGAGACATCCGTAGGATGACACATGCATACCTATGCTTGCAGGGCAGAAGTGTTTGCCTTGTCTGTGCGGTTTCCGGTGTTCACAGGTGAAGGTCTACCCTCAAATGGCTTCGCGCAGAAAAAGAAAAGGCATGTTCTAATACCCAGACACTCCATGGGACTGCCATATATGCCTACATTGGGGTGGTTTGGGGGGTCAATGTAGGCATATATGGAGTGTTCGGCTCCATGCACCAAACGATTCCCTTCCGGTCAAGAAAAAATCGTGTAGGATCCATAGATGGATCCTACGATTTTTCATCGACGGAAAGCCTGGGATGGGCTGGGCTCACTCACCGCTCCGCTCGGCGCGGGCCCTGCAGGTGGAGCTCACCACGGAGGTTCGAGAGCGCTGTGAGGATCCCAGTCACAGCGGTTTCAGGACGGCGGTGAAAGGGTTGGATATCAGGGCTTGAGGACAGTCTTACGAGGTTTGTAGTTATATATATATATATATGTTTGTCATATGATATATTTAATGTTGATCCATTGCGAGATCCATGGAAAATAACATCTGTGGAGATGACAAGATCCCTGAAGATCTGCGTTTTCGATATCAGTTGATGCGATGATTTCACACGAGTGAATCCCGAATCCGCGCTCCTGGCCTTCATCCATGCATCAAAGGCCGTCGGGGGAGCTTCGTGGCTTCGTGGAGTGACAACGACCCAGTCCGGTCCACCCGTCTCCACGTCACACGTAGACGACAGCGGGAGCTGGAAGGACCGTGCAGTGGCACCGCACCAGATGTTTGTTGGCCATGCGGAGACACGCACTGCGCACTGCGCAGGGTGGGTGCTTGGCGCACAGAGCGCCAGAGAGAAGCGAACGACAGCTATAGCAGTTGGCTTCCCCAAACATGCACCTGTATACTGTATGTATACATATTGTGTGTGTTTTGTGAAACACATGTAGGAAGTCGGAAGCCACCAAAAAAACAGGTCACACCCGTTGGGTCAGTATTTTGTCCTGGTGAATGGTGATGTGTTGTCATAGTGGTTCTAGTGTTGTCTTTTTGGAAGTGGCCAGCCCCGTAGAACCAGACACTGTAGCTCCGTCACGAAACAAAGCTTCGAACCGAGAACGAACGAAGGGCTCCACAAAGAAGCCTAAGGACCGGACCGATAAAGTAAAACAAAACATGCAGTTCTCAGGGAACAAGTTCACTCCTTCATCCTGGTGAGAAAGTAGATTACAAGTTACAAGTTCTTATTTCGCCTTTGACAAATCTTGCGTGCAAACCTGGTAACTACTGCCGAAGGACAGTGCCTTGTTGACAGGTTCTTTCCTTCTTTCAGGGCCTCGGTGCCGACGAGTTTTGCCCTCCGCAATGAGTTGGCCCTCACAGGTACAGGCGTTGCAATTTTCGCTCATCGAGTTCCTCGTGTTTTCGGCGTTTCTTCGAGGTTTGACTTCGCTGGTCTTCGTGGCGCCATGCGACCAGTCTCTTGGTGAATGCGTCACCGTCCCAAGGCATGGACCTGATCTCGAAGCTCCCAAAGGATCAGGCGCGACGCACAGGGCGCGACGCACAGGGCGCGGACCGAGCCGGACAGAGTGAGATGAGAATTTCAGCCCAGAAGCTTGCGGACCCTCAAAACTGCTGCATATTTGAGGTCCAAAACCCTAGTTACCCTAGTTGTGAGAGTCAAAGCCCCAGCTATGAGGGTCCAATGAGCCTTGGGGGATCTTGGGGGTCAGTTTGGTGAAACAGAAGTGTGTGATTCAATTTATACCAATGCGGATCTAAGAGCATGTCCAATGTGCTTGCAAGGGTCCTGAAAGAAAGGATATGTTGCATGTTCTCAAAGGACTCAAAGATGCTAGACCATTCTGATATCCATTCTTCTATGTACGGAATCATCACATACAAATGGTTCATAAGAAGGATTGGTATCTCTACCTATTCCACACATGAACAGTTGAAGGTATCCTGCATATGCATCTCAATAAAACCGAATGCATGCCGTCGGTTGTGGCCGACGGTACGGTGCGCCCGTTCGTCGTTGGTCGGTCAATTGAGACCGAGTTCCCCGGTCTGCGCCATGCATTTGTTGCCTGCGAAATCCGCTTGAATTCCAAGTGGGGCTTCATCTGTTTATGTGAGGCACTGATTCGTGCTTGCGTGGTTGGGGTGCTCTCACTTGCAGCATCTGGAGCATGTGGAGCATTTGGAGCTGCAAACACCCGACTCACTTGAAGACTTGAAATGCCAACACTGGACCCGCTTGTTTGGCTGGTAGGTAGGCATTTTTCTTCTTCCTTTGAGTCGGTGTCTTTGCTTATTTGTTTGCACTAGGGCTCCGAGTCCCTTCGTTTCGAAGGTGTTTGGGGTGGGTTTGGAGGGTCCCAATACTTTGTGAGGAGGTCCTTGGAGCCCTAGGGTTGGTGAAACTTCTTTTGCCCCCTCAGTGCTGCGGACCTGGGCCAAGCGCCCGCAGCCCTGCTTGGACTCCACCAGTCAGACAGACGGACCCTGCAGTTCTCAGCCCGTGAGTGTGCCCCACGACGGTGACGACGCGTTCCTGGAGGATGAAGATTGATGAAGATTATGAATTTGGAAAGAAGGTATGGCGGTATGGCTATATATGAGTTATTGGCTAATGGCCTTTCTTCGGATCAAGCACCACAAGCGCCGGGCTCATGTCAATCACTTGAGGACTTCAAGCGCCGGAAACTGGATGGTTTTTTGGAGTTCAGCACGCTCAGCAAGACACCGCATCTCTCATTCCACTGAATTTGCGCCAAATTCCTTCCTAATCTCTGGGAATGTCGCTAAAACCTTTGGGCCACCGGTGCCGCTCCATTCTCCTGTTCCGTGCCGCTCGGATCGTCACCGTGGATCCACCCGGAGAAGCGGAGGAGTGACACAACGCTCGCTACCTTAAGCAGTTGAGAAGAGTAAGCCAGTGCTTGTACAAAGGCACTGCAAGCAACTCACAGAAGATGCAAACACATTATGTATATATATATATATATTTACTTATTGTTATGTTCCCAGTCTTTCAAGACCATCAGAAAGGTTGACCCGTTTTTGTCATGTAAAACTCTCAGTAAAACGATGCGTTTGTTCTTTGTAAAGACATTTATATAAATTCAGTTATGTATATATATACATTACACACTCTCGTCCAAGCCCGGATCTAGAAAGATCTCGTGTTTTTTGGGTGGGGGCCCAGGGTCCCTCGCTCAGGCAGGATCTACTCATATCTAGTGGGTCAATCGGGTTCAAAATGATATATCCAACAACTCAGTGAGCATCCGGGCAGTTCATGGGAGTTGCCTGCTAAACTTTCAGAGGTCACACTTCACACTTTAGCGATGGCCGAGTATTACGCCACTCTGTGTTTTCAACCAAATACAAACCATCATATACCACTTCCTTGTCATCCAGTCCAGCTGCCAAACTTCTTGCCTGTCCGCCTGTCCCTTCCGTCCGTTTTCGGTTTCGGAACGCCGGTGTTTGAGCCGCCGCCCAGCCCGCCACTTCCGCCAGTCTGGTTGTGTCACCTCTTTGGGAAGCCTTTTTCACAAAGAAGGTGGGACGAGATCGGGTGGGACGATGGCGGATGATGGCGGAAGGAGCTGGAGAAGCTTTTGTTTTTGGTGTGATTGCTTTGGAAGGAGGTGAGTCGGTGTTTTTGGGTGCAAGCAGTTGTTAATTATAAGATGTGGCCAGCAGGGCTCATGTTCTTGTGCTGTATGATGCTTGTTAATTGGTGTTAATTGTTGAAAATAGACAAGCACAAAGAAACACAACAAGAAATCACTTTTCCATGCCACTCTGGGAGTTGGGGGCATCCCGCCCATTCCCACTGGAATTTGTGACTCGAAATCGATGTGGCCGGGGCAGGATCCATAAGGCTTCCATAAGGCCCATCAGTAGACCACCACATCCAAACCGCTCTCCGTCGGGTCCACCACGGGTCGGCTGGCTGTGAACGGGTACAGAAAAAGGAAAAGGAAGATGAATGGTTCCTTTTTGTCCAAAGGAATGGTTTGAATGGTTCATGTTTTTTTTCCTTAATCTTTATATCGTTACTTTTCCCTGAATTCTTTGGATCAGGGTGCATGATCCATTGCTCCAACATGAAGGTGAGGCGCTGCAAGGCCAGTGTGGCAGTGTGTCAGGTGGATACCACCAGCCAGCGACGTGAAAAGAAATAATACAACTGACTCGGCATCCTGACTCGGCTGGTGTGATCCATTGGAACATGTTGTTTGTTCACAATACTTGTGTCCAATCAGTCTTTAGGGCACACTGCATTTGGTGAATGAAACCATTATAGACAATACATGCAGTCATGCTGAATGTAGTTTGAGGACCTAGACGCGCGCTTGGTCATGAGCAGGAGATTGGATGATACACGACAAAGATCGACAAATTGGCTGTGGGTCAAAACCTGGAGCCTGGTTGACCCGAGGTTAACCTCCCTGAGGTTGACCTCCCTGTTCATTTTCTGTGGTCAACCAAGGTACCCCGGTTTTGACCAACAGACAAATGATATCCTGCATGGTTCAAAAATAGGGAACTGGGTTTGGGCTGAGGCAGCAACTGACAAGTATGGCTGGTGTTCACTTTCAGACCTTTCAGGAAGCATAGTTCACCTGTTGCCAAGTGACATTGGAGAGCATGGACACCCATCCTGGATGCGACTAGCCGACCGATGCAAGGTCAGTGCAAGCCGTGCGCATATTGGTGGCTTGGCTTTTCTTGGAATTGACAGAGAGGTGTTTCCCGCTCTGTTGGGGGAGCTTTGAGCAGGTGTTCAGAGACGACCCTTGCGTTCAATATGGGCTATACAGGAAAGGTTAGTTTCGTTTGAACTTACTATATACTCCGAATCAGTCTACAAATTGGCAATGATTGTCAACCCTGATTTGTCCTTGTTTCTCTACCCTTCAGCTACTTCAGCAGCAGGCTACCCATGTCCGTAAAGAACCTGACTACGACTGCGACAGGACTGGAAGGTCTTGCTGGTGACCCTTGTGATGTCCCAAAATGACCTCGCCAGTGTTCCTTGGGTCAATCTGAATGTTGTCCCCTGCAGATCCACATCCCTTAAGACAGGGATCTTCAGAGGCCTAACTCGTTGGGATGTTCTAACATGGTCTAACTACATCCCAACTACAGGGCCTACTCGTTCCCTTGCAAAGCCGATCGATGTTGCAAGCCAGCATGTCCTCCCCGAAACGCCCATCAGGCGTCTTGGACCCAAACTTGGATCCTGGAACCCTTGAGGGTTCAGAGGGGGTTGGGGTCTCATATGGAGGGGGTTGGAGTCTCAAATCCCTACTGTAGCTTTTTGAGGGACCAAGGTCTGTGTGGAGCGTCCGGGCAAAGATGCAACTGTGAGGTTCCATAACCATCAGAGGCAATATCCATGAATTCTCTCTTGATGGTTTGCTGCCGTGTGTGTGGGTGTGCGCGCTTTCTTCAAGGTTTAAGGGCCAATGCAAGAATGGAATTTGCTGCCACAATTGCGGGGACACCCGGACACGGCGCGTGCGCGTGCGAAGAAACCGCACGAACGTTGTTCGCGTGTTAGTTGTTGTTGACATCCAATGGCGCGGTCCGTTTGAAGAAGTATCCCATAGGGGCAGACAATCAAGCTGAAGAATGGTTGATCAGTCCTGGAGGCTTTGTGCGGCAAGTACTGGACAATCTTCTTGTGGGTTGCCCCCACTTTCCCGGCAAGAAGTATGCCCCGTAATCAGTACTTTTGGAGATACCCACGTCCACTTGTGGGAGGAATCAAGTTCTGACTGGAGCGACAAGTCTTGCCTGCTCCAAAAAGTAGTAGCTGGATCCACTGGGGTAGGATATGACCATGTTGATCCATTGAGTGGATGACCAGACGCGTCCTCAGTTACCATTCCAGTCTCTCGGATCAGTGCCTCCAGCTGGTCGATGCAGCCGAGTCGACACTCTCCGTTCCCCTCAGCTCCCGACGACCTCCCGACGACCTCCGCCCGGTGTTGCTCGGACGACCCTCCGCGCAGTTTGAGGCCATTTAGTGCATCAAGGGCAGCGACCCAAACGCCTGAGGAGCGGGGACGGCCGAAAACGGCGGCTGCACATGGTGCCCGGGCGGTTCTTTTGCTGGAAGGAGCAAAAACTGGGGCCTGTCAGTAATGGTTCCTTTGGGTATTTTTAAGAGATCATATGCAGTTTTGGTGGGGGAATGTGTTTGTGACTCACAAACAGGTGGGCAGTGATTCGAGGTGGATTTGGAGGGTGACTTGGACAGATTGAATCAATGAAGAGTGGTGTTCTGTTAAATTGGGTAATATAAATTGGCTTGTACTCATGAAACCGTGTTTCTACTGCAGGTACCTTGCTTATTCTTCGATCGTGCTTCAGAATCAGCTGAATGTGAGTGGCAGTCAATTGTGAATGACCCCTGGAGCCTGGAGGATCAACTATCCAAAATATGGTCAAACTTCCTATCACACACACGCACCCTTCGAGGAACAGATCCGTGTCGCACCGTGTCCTGCCCTTATCCTATGGGTAATGGTCAAACCTATCAAAACAGAGGTCAGTCAGGCTCGACTCGGTACATCACCACTCCTTCGCGGACACATGCCACAGCGCCGACCACTCGGCTGCCATACCGGGCGGACCTGGGCACGTGATGAAACACTGGACTTACCGTAGAGGAGAAGCTTGAAAGCGACAAGAACAACAAAACGAAGGACTTACGCAACTTACGCGAGACGAATGGATATGTTCTTTCAAACTTCAAGCTTGGACTCGCCTCACCGAAGCATAGATGGAACTGGAGAGAAAAAGAACGTGTCTCGCGGATGATGCAACTCCCACATGCGACCCATGTAACTCCTGAGAAATCCCATGAATCCGCAGAGTTTGCCGTGCCAAACGATGCCACCACGAATCAACCGAGCAACAGGATGATATACATGGACCCCGAGAATAGCTGACCCACTGGCCCAACTGACCCAGTGGCGTAGGGATCCATGTGAATCTGCAGGATGATATGGAATGGAACCTGCTGACCCACTGTCAGAGGCCCCCCCGTTTCTCCCTTTTCAGCGATTAGAGCCCTTTGAGGGGTCTAAGGATTGATTGATATCTGACCAAAGATGCTCCGCTAGGCGCTAGGCCCTGCTCCACCTGCCAGGCCTGGAAAGACACAGAAGTCTGGAGCAGGCGGAGCCGTGCGGCGCGGAGTATCACTGCGCCGTGCGGCGAACGTGAACCCCTTAGAGTTCCTCAGCCTCCGCCGCAGATTGTGGCGTGCGCTCTCCTGTTTGTCTTATATAATCATATAGGTTTCTATAGGAGGTGGCTGAGGCCGCTGAGGCAAGTGCCAAGCTTTCATATTTTTCCTGCAAGATGTCAACATGAGCAGTGCAAAGTGCCAGTAGTTAAAGGTAGCCTTGTGTGATGCTACCATCATAGATGCCTGGGATTTCATACCAAGGGGGAATTCCGGGCCACATGGCTTGCCCTACCCTAGAGATCCATTCTGCACCCCTGTGTTTTGGACTCAATGAACATTGACAATGGGGCTCTAGGTCCAGTTTGTTTCTGCCAACGACTCGAATCAATTGGCATGCGTTTGTGGCACAGAAACTGGTTGTTGTTGCATGGTCTTCCCCTACCTTCCAGTTCTCTACATTATATACATATATATTATCCCACCATAACAATGTCATATATAATAGACACTTTCAAGCAGAGGAAACTGCAGTGTTCTTTAGTGACCACTTCTTCTATATATCCATGGTTGTCATCAGTCTTTTGAAAGAGTGTAACTGTGCAGACGCCAACAACAGCAACTTCAACAGTCAAGAACTCACGGCACCAGGCCTTTGCTAGATGAAACGTGTTTTTCATGGTTTTGGGTGGTTCCTCCTATGTATATCTATGTATATGTATAATATATATATACATATATATGCACATATTATATACATACATAGGATGATATATATATATAGTTATGTAATGTACATTCACATACCAAGTCTATCCCAATGGATCCCAGTTAATACATTCTGAGGAACCAGGGGCCCTCCGTCTATGGTTTTTGGTCGAACTGGAACCACTGATTACCAGCGACGATCCCAGACGGCCCGGCTTTGCTGGGTATCCGACGATCCCATGGACCCTGAAGAAGTACTCCATGTTCAGACCAATTTTCTCTACAACTTAGAGGTTTTGAGATTCGTTGAGCTGCAGGAGACCACTCTGATTGGTTTCAGCTCCAGCTCCAAACCAAAGTCTTGCGCCGGGAGAGACCTCCAGATGACCTCCAGGAGAGATGAACCTTCCTGAAGATGAGATGCAGCTGGGAGCAAAGTAGCTTTAGATTTGATCGCTTGTTAGCTTCTATCAAACATAGATTTAGGATGATTGATGATTAATGTTGATTAATGCTAGACTCGAATCCTAGTGTCCTTTTTCCCCCTCCTGGATTCAGGAAAAAAGCTCGTGGACTTGTTTGTGACCTTCATTGTATAGTCACCTGAATTCCGCGCCTCCCGTTGCGACGTCGCGCTCCGAGTTGGGTTCCGACATGGGCCATCGCAGCGTCGCGATCGCACGCGCCACCAAGGCCTCAAAGCATTTGGAAGAAGGCGATGGCTGTACCTGGGCCAAACGACCGTTCCGTTTGACCCGGTGACTGCTGTTGTTGGTACTTTTTTTTCCAACCAAAGGAGCGTTCACAGCGTTTTGGCCGTTCCTCCCTGTGGGTTCAGGACTTCGAAACAAGGATGAGATGTTTGCTCAAGCAGTTTGCCTCTGAAACCGACACCGGGTCCCATCCGCCACGAACTGGATGCTCTGCGTGATGGTCTTTAGACCGACCGGAGAGTGTCCCTGAGCGGATCCGAGTGGCAATGAACGGTTGTTGCTCATACATCACTGCAGGGAAAGCGCAGCTAGTTCCATGGCATTTTTGAGAACATTGTTGCATGGTGGACATCCAGGCTTATGAGAACTCGAACTCAGTGGATGTGTGAGGGATCCCCATGTTGATCATGTAGACGGATTCATAAGCCCAAGCCTAAAACCTGCAGCCCAAGCCGGGAATCTCCAGTGCGAAGGTGGAACCGGCAGGGAAAACTATAGACCTTCAGCCTTTGGCAGTGGGAAGGTCTCGAAAGGATCGAACAGGCTATTCCCAACATGACTGGGGGATCATCATCATCATCATCATCATCATCATCATCATCATCATCATCAT